CCAGTGGCCGAACGTCTTGTTCATGTGGACAGACGCTTTGTTCTTGTGGCCAGTTATGTGTACCTATGACCTGATGTTTTATTGCCATGGCCAGATGCCTTGTTTCTGTGGCCAGATGATTGTAGCAGTGGCCCAATGTTTTGTTTACGTGGCTGGAAATCTTCGTGCCGATTGTGTGTCGAACTAGATCGTTGTGAGTACTACTGAGTATTCATGAAAGGATTTAAACCGTGTTTGAATTAGTGGAATTAGAACAAGGGATGATGATATTTAATGTGTGATTCTGAGATTACTAATCAGTGCAAGTAGTGAAGGTAGAACCTGCGAAGATTACATTTACTTGTGTGAATTCTGATTTTTGTACATAGAGGTGTGCTACTCACACTTTTATATATTGTTCTTTATCAAAACAATGAATTAATGTTAGTAGCCAAGGTGAAAATCCCGCATTGAATGTAAGTTTGGTTATTCCCACGTTTTCTTTAACTTGCTTTCGCGTCTGTTTGGTTCTCCAATCAAATCTTGCGATCGATATTTCAGGCACTTCCCAGTTAGCTAGCGCGCTGAAATTTTCAGGGAAGCTTTGTTTCCGATGACCATAGAATATTCAATTGTTATTATTACTAAATTGATCCATGGAAACATTTTATTGAGCATTTTAGACCGCTATATATTGAGCATTTTAGACCGCTATATAATTGTAGTAAAAACGTGGGGAAAAGGGGACATAACCCAGTAACTGTAATTTGATGAAAACAAGGTTCGGTACTCTCCCTCTTTGCTTACTGAGTAGTGTTCACGCGGTGTTTGTGTACAAACAACCGTAACAAATGGTGGCCAGAATGGGGGAGACGATATGGTCGAGTGGTTGGGCACACGATTGCTATCCCACTCGACACGGGTTCAAATCTATGTGTTCTAGTCAGTAACGTATTCACACAACGTGTTTTTTACGAGTTGTCTTTTTACGAGTTGTCTTCGTTTACCCAAAAATAAGTGAAAAGATAAAATCGATAGCAAGATTTTAATGCAAACAAACAGACAAAGACTAAAAAGTAGAAAATAATAATCATTAAAAAAGTTTTAAAAAACCCACTTTTTCTGATTGAACTAAAAAGTAGAAAATAATTGATATACATCACAATAATGCAAGCGATCACTCTACTATAAGCGATCAAAAATGTGGGGCGCCGTGATTTTCTTACAGTTTCTAATACTGTTGACTCTCTACAAGGTCCCTAATAAAAGTCAATAGTATTATCTAATCAATAGTAATATAACTTTTACTTCGGCGCCCCACGTTTTTCATCGCTTATAGTAGAGTGATCGCTTGCATTATTGTGATGTATAGCAATTATTTTCTACTTTTTAGTTCAATCAGAAAACGTGGGTTTTTAAAAACTATTTTAATGATTATTATTTTTGTCTTTTGACTTGTATTAGAATGTTAAGTGATGTTCTTGAATATTAAAGACGGGCCATTTTTTATTTATATTGTTTTCTCTGCTTTCAAAAATGCAAAACTATGTAAGGTCTAATGAATGTAAATAAATGTAATGAAATGTGGGTTAACACATTTTATTTTTTGGTTTAATATTAATGTTGTTTAATGTGCAAAAATTGGTTTGCTCAGGTCTGGTAAAGCTCCTTATTCCAACGATGACGCACTGATGAGAGAATAAGATCTCCACCTCTCTAGATACAACCTCCACCTTATATATATATATATATATATATATATATATATATATATATATATATATATATATATATATATATATATATATATACATTATATATACATTAGTTATGTGTTTATTTATTTTGTTTTAATATGCTTATAATTTCTTATGCTAATAGTTAAAAAATTATCTGCGGCTTATTCTTATGTTATAAAATTAACTAAAAATTCAGATAGCGCTAAAACCTAATCAAATATAATGGGGAATTCTATTAAGTGTTTCTTATTTTTATTTATATGAACAAATTCATTGGTTGCAGCTTAGATTTCCAAATTGCAGACCATCCTTAGGTCAAAATATGAACATACACAATGCTATGTTTGTAAGCTGTAAAGTTTGTTTGGCTCCGAAGAGCCTGGTAATGTCGGACTCCCAAGTCCCCTACATAATAGCGTGGTGGAGGAGAGGTGCAAGACTGCCGGGAACCAAGAAGGGTGTGCTCTCGACCCTAACCAGATATCTTGACTTTAAGCTGCGGCCTTCACGTGGTTTCGGAAGAGTGCCACTAGTCGGACCAAACTCATGACCCCCCCCCCCCAGTGGGTGCGGAATGGCTAGTGGTAGCCAACAGCAGCTAGAGGTTTTTTATCTGGCCGAGTAGAGCTGCTGTATGCGCTAGGCTCAAAGAATGGCCGAACGCCCCCCACGATCAAGCCGGGTACCAGGCGGTAGGACGACGTCCCGCGTCTGGTGGGTGGGGAAGGAAAGCCCGGTGAGAGCCGACGTAAGTAGCGACCGATTTGTGGGAAACTCTTTAAAGGTCGGAGTTTGCTACACTGAAGCCTTCCTGGCTAATGGAAGTCAACCTTCTGAGCCGGTTTCCGTATAAGGAAGGAAGGAAGTGTGTTTGGCTGTAGGCCAATTTCATAATGGTAACAACCGCTACCACGATACCATTATTTAATAGTTTTGTGTATTTTAAACTAAACACAGCTATTTAGTGTTAATCTCCCTCCTAGCAGGTCTGAGTTATGTTAATGTTTTTAAACAAGAGATAAATGATTTAAAATATTTAATAAAAAATACATCAGAAAACGTAAATATTCAAATATGCATTACAAAATAAAAGGTAAATATTAAACGTATCATTAGAAAAATATAAAGCTTTTCAGAATGCTTAAGCGTACTGACATTTATAAAATTAGATATTTTCTTCTATTCGTATGCTTTACCTAGTAGATTATTATATTTCAGTATACAAACATTGTTCAACATAAAAAGCTCCTACCTAAGAGAATCACAAACAAACACTCAGAATTTATGTTGTAGGATAAAAGTAACGATCCCTCATTAGACTCAGAGGCGTAGCCACCCTTCCCGGCGCCTGGGGACAAACTTTCGATTTGCACCCCCACCCCTCAATCTTTCAACTTGCACCCCCCCCCCTACTCAAACTTTCATTTTGATTTTCCAACCCAAGTATGCCCCCCCCTCGCTACGCCTCTGATAAGACTAACGACATATGTGGCAGATGAAATAGAGTCCCTTTCTTTCTTAATTTCGGCATTAAATGGGATAATGTGTCCAACACTATGCTCCCCCTTAATTTTCCCCAGCACTGAATAAAAAAAACGAATCTCAGACAAGAAACAAGTCAACCGTGAATACCAGGTCATTGTCATTAGCTAACTGATCAAGCTATTGTAAGTATTTAATCTAGTAATCTCTTGTTTAAATTATTGCATTTTGTATTTTTTAAATTAAATTTTAGTAAGTAACAAAATTTCTATGTGTTTAAACAAAGAGATATTTTTGATTTGTCACCGGAGAACTTTGCGCGAAATATAGTAGCTGACATAATATACACTTGTATGGAAAAGCTCATAGAACTGCTAAGGAAGAATGTATGAAATTTATATCTACATCTACATCTACATCTACATCTACATCTACATCTACATTTAAATCTACATCTACATCTACATCTACATCTACATTTAAATCTACATCTACATCTACATCTACATCTACATCTACATCTACATCTACATCTACATCTACATCTACATCTACATCTACATCTACATCTACATCTACATCTACATCTACATCTACATCTACATCTACATCTACATCTACATCTACATCTACATCTACATCTACATCTACATCTACATCTACATCTACATCTACATCTACATCTACATCTACATCTACATCTACATCTACATCTACATCTACATCTACATCTACATCTACATCTACATCTACATCTACATCTACATCTACATCTACATCTACATCTACATCTACATCTACATCTACATCTACATCTACATCTACATCTACATCTACATCTACATCTACATCTACATCTACATCTACATCTACATCTACATCTACATCTACATCTACATCTACATCTACATCTACATCTACATCTACATCTACATCTACATCTACATCTACATCTGCATCTGCATCTGCATCTGCATCTGCATCTGCATCTGCATCTGCATCTGCATCTGCATCTACATCTACATCTACATCTACATCTACATCTACATCTACATCTACATCTACATCTACATCTACATCTACATCTACATCTACATCTACATCTACATCTACATCTACATCTACATCTACATCTACATCTACATCTACATCTACATCTACATCTACATCTACATCTACATCTACATCTACATCTACATCTACATCTACATCTACATCTACATCTACATCTACATCTACATCTACATCTACATCTACATCTACATCTACATCTACATCTACATCTACATCTACATCTACATCTACATCTACATCTACATCTACATCTACATCTACATCTAAATATACATCTACGTCTGCGTCTGCGTCTGCGTCTGGGTCTGCGTCTGCGTCTGCGTCTGCGTCTGCATCTGCGTCTGCGTCTGCATCTGTATCTGTATCTGTATCTGTATCTGTATCTGTATCTGTATCTGTATCTGTATCTGTATCTGTATCTGTATCTGTATCTGTATCTGTATCTGTATCTGTATCTGTATCTGTATCTGTATCTGTATCTGTATCTGTATCTGTATCTGTATCTGTATCTGTATCTGTATCTGTATCTGTATCTGTATCTGTATCTGTATCTGTATCTGTATCTGTATCTGTATCTGTATCTGTATCTGTATCTGTATCTGTATCTGTATCTGTATCTGTATCTGTATCTGTATCTGTATCTGTATCTGTATCTGTATCTGTATCTGTATCTGTATCTGTATCTGTATCTGTATCTGTATCTGTATCTGTATCTGTATCTGTATCTGTATCTGTATCTGTATCTGTATCTGTATCTGTATCTGTATCTGTATCTGTATCTGTGTCTGTGTCTGTGTCTGTATCTGTATCTGTATCAGTGTGTGGGTATATATATATATATATATATATATATATATATATATACATAATGATTTATATACAACAAACATACAACAATTGTAGCTCGGTCAAAGAGCACTGGTCGACAATATCAAGCCAACGCTTTCTTACGGCTTTAAGTATTTCCTTGTTAATTGTTCTGCTGACTTTGGAGCCGAGCGAAGAAGCTATAGACGTTGTATGTCCAGATGAGGATGCCAGAAAATACGCCCATGACATTCAGGGTTTCTGCCTTCTTCGCGACCTTCTTGGCCTCCGAGTATTTTCTTCGGATTTTTAGGTTGTCAGCCTGCGGAGAAGAGTAACACAGTGATCGGCTATAAATTTACGAGGTAAAAGTTGTTATTAGGATACATTATATTGTGATTGGGCATTTTTGAGAGTGGTAGAGGTGTATTATCTGATTACTAGTGTACCCGTCGCGCGTTGCTGCGTGCCTATAAAAAAACTATCAAATTAAAAGAAAAACAAACAAGATGGCACTTTGCCGGAAACCATAAGCTGATTTATTGTCCTAAATAATTCTGTTAAAAACCGGTTTTAACAAATCTAGTTTTAGTCATTTTTGCCGACCAAATTTTTATTATTCGCCTGCTTAATAATATCTGCATAATCTCGAAATGGAAAGTCTATCAATATTAAAAAATTTAAAAATATTTTAGGAACATAGTATTTGCCTATTTTCTGTGAACAGAACAATTACCTGTTGTGTTGCAAAAAGCTAAATTAACCAGAAAGTGATATTTTAACGCCAAGGCTAGACAAAGGTACATAAAATAGTCTAAGTAAAGACAAGCAGTCAGACACCAATGGGATCCTAACCTACCATTCCACGCGCCGCCCAAGCATTAATTCAGACATGTAACCGCTTCTGCCAATCAGCCCTACAAAAATAGCGCTTTCATGGCAGACCACCATCATAGATTGTGCAGGGTAGACGCGGGTTGGCTTTGTTCCATGACCCTTGCAAAAAGCATTACCTCTCCGGTTGATTATTTAAATGTGCGTTGTTATCATTGAATATGTTTTTATTTCTTTTAGTTTCTTCAAATAAATTTAAACTTACACATTCAACGTAAGGAACACATTTGTCTAAACAAAAATACGTCTATTTGATGTCTACATGGTGGCTGAATATTCTGATCTCATAGCCTCGGAATCATTGTTACAAACTTACAGAGTTCAAGAAAAACGTTCGAACGTTGGCTCTGATATATAAGGATGTTTATGACTATAAGTGAAACAATATTAAAATCACTTACAGAAAATGTATACACCAGTCCAGCTATACCTAGTGGTAGACAGCAGAAGAGCATAACAAGTATGCTAATGCATTTGTAACTAGGAACATCTTGGAATGGCTCCTAGTCATACAAAAACATATATATATATATATATATATATATATATATATATATATATATATATATATATATATATATATATATATATATATATAAATTTATTCTTATGGTGTTGTGCTTCAAAATTACGTAAAATGTTGTACTTACGTAGATAATATAGCAAAGTGCTCAAATTATTACCTCTGTCATTCGTGGCCCAATCGCACCCATTTGTGGTGCAGGTGCATCTCTCGAATTCGGGGTGTTCACCACTGATGTGTTATCCCTGTAATTCTGTACATAAGGTGTGGGCTGGGGTTTATTTTGTTCCACGTTGTTGGTCCTAGGGTCACTTGGGACTATGGATGGGGATGTGGGTGTGGCGCATGTGTATTTGTGAGCATCATAAGCCCTCTTGGGGTAGGCTGATCTTTTATTGTGCGAGTAAGCTTGTTGTTCATTTCGGGCCGGGGTGTCGTCTGAATAATGATGTGGGTTGTCTACACTGGATTCAAGAGGTTCACAATCGTCGTCATCGTAGTATTTATCATTGTCTCCTATCCCCTTCATGGTGTAATGATCCCTTTGGTCAGTCAGTTGGTCAGCTGCTGTCGACTCATCATATTCATAATCGTAGTAATCCTGGCCATAGCTCTCTGTGTGTCCTGCTTGATTGGTGGATCGTTCTTCCCAATTATGACCAGACTCTCGCCTCTAATTGACGGAGGAAAACAATGTCGTTTTAGATATTTTAGTTATTAGTATTAAATAATCTCGTAAAATAGGCTTGAAAATTCTAGGTAATCATACTAAAGACAATTTTTTAATGTAAGGCCTGACAAGTGGTGTGTATAAAACCCTAATGTAAATGCCTAACTCTACCCCAGGCTAATCATCTAAGCTGAACATACAGTGGTCAAAATCCTAACATTAACCTAGATACAAAAAGATATAAGCAAAACCATAAAAAAACCTACAGAAATGCAAGCAATTCACAAAGGCCTCGACATTCCCTTAGATTGTACTTCCCTGTTCAAAACTACATATCCAACAAAGCAAACAAATCCATTCAAGCAAACACTAAACAAATTTTACAAAAACCAATCAAACACCCAGCCAAGTTACTGGATGAAAGAAAAAGAAGAAAAAAGAAAACATTAATAAAATGCCTGGAAAATATATTCACACATGTATATACAAATGGTTAAGAATAAAAATGTAATAGTAATACTAATCACTACTAAGGAAATCTAGATAAGGCTTCGACTAAATTACTAATCCCTACTTCGAACACTAAAATACTAAAATCTATTATTATAACTAATCTAATGCCAGTCTTACCAAGAACACACATGGTACCCAACGGGATTAAATATAGTTATAAGTAGTAACCTCAGTATAAACAGATTTTCGAAGCGAATTAAAAGTAACGTGTAACAAAATCATGGTAGAACAAACAAACTGTACAAGGAATAGCCTGAACCCATGGGAGGCGTAGCGACCAATTCCGGCTCCCGGAAAAATTATCAATTATGTGACCCCTCCCATTTAAATTATATTCACTCATGTACAAGAAAAAGCGCCCCCACCCAGTTGAAAAGGTTGGTGGCGCTTTTTACTAGTCACTAATTTTTGCCTTGGTATCCGATTTGATTGTATACAATGCAATAGTTCAGCTTAAAATGAGTTTTTAATCATTCTTTTCTACCGCGTTTGGCGCCCTCTTAGATTCGGCATTATATACCAGCTCGGCCGAAAGTACCGTAGCCACTGTCCACTTTAGCGTTCGCACACAGATTTGCACACAATAAAATAATAATAAAACAATTAAACCATTCACCCGCTCGCATAGAAAATATGGCAAGGGTTAAAATTATAGTTTCATTTTAAAAACTTCAAGCTGTTTGGGAACCGTCGATTACACTCATTTTCATATTTTTGTATTGAATATAAGCAGTTGAAAAGCAGTATAGAATTATTTTATCATTTAAAAAATATTTTTAAAAAACGCCCTCAATCTCTTCTTGAAGTCATCTTGAATAAACAATGAAAGTCACAACAAATGTTTCGCATGATAAAATACACAATAGTGGTCAATGGTGTATAGCCTAGTATTGTATTTATATTTAATAATATAATATCCCCTTTTATCACAACAACCTGACTACACTAATCCAAAATAAATTTAAAAGTTGATAAACTACTATTATAGTACTAGTAGTTATTTGTTTTAATATTTCTAGCCTTAATAGAACCGGAAGTCATTTTGTAAATCCTTTTTTTATTCTCTGCTGCAGTGAGGATGATTTCCAGATCTTAGCAAGCCTGTTGAAAGCCTGTGCTGCCATTGCTATTTTGGTGGTTATTTCCTGCTCGTTGCAGCCATTTGCTGAGATATAGCTGCCGAGGTAGTTAAAGTCTTAGACCTGTTCAAGCTCTGCTCCATTAGCAAAGGTCTTCAGATCACTTTTAGTTTTAACTTTCATTGTCTTGTTTTTTTTCCTGAGTTTAACTTAAGCCCAAGACTTTTAGCAATTTGCTCTATTTTTTTTTTTGGATGTCCTTTGGGCATGTGAGAGTAGAAGTAGAACCAAGTTATTATCAAAGTCAGTCGACCAAGTGATTGGTAAGTTCCCAAACAATTCCTCTTGGATTCTCCTCAGTGGCTCTTCTCATATCCAGTCTATTACCACCAAAAAGATGACAGGAGAGATGACACAGCCCTGTCTGACACCAGTTATTACCTTAAACCATTCACTTTGCTGATTTTCATGTCGCACACAGCATTGGTTGTCATAGTACGTCTTTGAGAATGTTTGTGACTTTTCCTAGAAAGTCATATAGCTCTAGTATCTTCCATAGTGATGGATGGTGGATGCTATCAAATGCCTTCTCAGAATCTATGTAGTTGATGAAGAGTTCCATTCTAGGGACTGTTCCACCATAGTGCGCACGACAAATATTTGGTTATTACATGACCTGTTGGCCTCATAAGCCAGCTTGTTCTTCACGAAGGATCACATCAATTGATTTCCTCATTCTTTGTAATAAGACTCTGCAGAAGACTTTTGCTGGCACTGACAGGAGCTTTTTTAAATTGACATATGCATGTCCCAGACATGATCCGGTGTAAAACGTTCAGAGTACTCGCACTGCATTCAACAAGTTAACCAAGTAGATTACATTGTGCTTTAAAAAGTCGATGTTTTGTTGAGAAAAGACAAATATGGATAGCATTCTGACTAAGGTATGTAAAAAAAAGTGTGTTGTCTACGTTATATGCACAGTCATAGTGTTCTGGCAATATTCTGTAAAAGACAATAGCATGACGTGAACGTTGTAGAAACAGACATTGTGGTGTTGTTTACGTTTTATTGACAGTCATTGTGTTTTGTCTGCGTTATGCAAACAGACATAATGTGTTATCTACGTTATGCTAACAGACATAGTGGTCTGTAAACGATGTATAAACAGACATGGTATAGTTCCACAGTCATGTATGTAAGTAAGTAGTTTCACGACCTGAGCTGTGTAGAGAAGGTTTAAAACCACAATGATGATAAAACATATATTTAAAATTAGATTAAATAATGTATAATGGAACACGAAGTTGTAAAACTGAATGATCTGACAAAAATGTACACACCTTGTGGCCTTGGTCTGAAAGTTCAGGCTCATAGTCATCCTCGTCAGCACTCAAAGAGATATTTTTGTCTCCGCCTTGGTCCATGGTCTAAAGGAATGGTTATAGAATAAAGATGTTAGGGTAGGGCAATGTTCTGAGGAAATGTTTATAGAATAGAGGAGTTTGTTTCTGTAAAGCCATTTCGAATGAAATAGGATAGATTATGGACGTCTTTTTTGTAGGTAATAGAATAGAGACCAAATATCATGCATTTTAATTTGACATTTTAAATATTCTTCTTTAGACCTCTACATTCATTGGGCAGATGAAGTATAGTTCATGCTTTTTGACCTCGAAATATGAAGAGATAATGTGATCGATACTATAACCTAACTAAACTAAGAGCCCATCAAAGCCGAGCGGACTTATACCTGTATTCGTACTTGAAACTTTCGGGTTAGCAGTCTAGCGCTCTATCGCTATGCCACGCCGTCCCATATTTTAATTGGCAAATGCAATAGATCAATTTTAATCAATTGATTGCAAGCCCTACGCAAAGGTAATAATAATAATATTAATAATAATAACAAACAATAATAATAATTAAAATAATAATAATAATAATAATAATAATAATTATATATATATATATATATATATATATATATATATATATATATATATATATATATATATATTACGGTCAAAGCCCGAAGTGCGGCCAAAGCGCCCATTGGCCGGCTCTCTTGGCTAAAGCCCGAAGAACTTAGCATCACTAAGATCGTATTTCGTACATTGGTCGGACAATGCGCGCACTGGCCGGGACGTACTGGCCAAAGTCCGAAGCACTAAAACTTGACAGCTTTTTCTGTACATTGGCCGGCCAAAGCGCGCACTGGCCGGGATATCCTGGCCAATGTTCTATCTAGACTAAGTTGTGATCGCGTTTTCATTATTGTGCGTGCGGTTTCATTGTGAGTAACGTATTGTTTAACTCTTGTTTGTATAGCATTCTATATGCAAGGCAACATGGATCAAAAGGGCCGTCAGACCATGAGACAGACATAGCAGATGGCTGTCAAAAGAAAAAAATGTAAATCCATGTTAGTTTCCATATATGGGCTACAACTGTATGTGACAGCCTCCTCCATGATGACAATCATCAAATATCAAAATCAAAGACAGTCGGCGTCACCGACCACATGCAACAAGACGGAACGTTTAAAAGACTTTGTTGCGTTCCTTGTAAGTTGAACAATAGTGTGCAAGCAACTTGAGATAGCGTGGGCGTCAGAAACCATTTTTCCCCAACAAAAGGGGAATACCAAATTAAAAAATGGAGGTTGCCATAAATGCAACGACATCCTCAGCTAACACATCTGCTGCCGTGGCGGAACGTCCAGACCAGCTGCGTGACAATAATTTGGCCAACAGATTCTGTATTGTTTGTGAAAAACATTGTAGTGCAGCTCATTCTTGTGGATCCTGTGGCCACGATGTCCATGCTATGTGTGGAATACCCAATTAAGCAGACGGAGGGTACGGAGGAAATATTACCTGCAGATTATGTCACAACAAACAAGACATCATGGAACACAGGTCAGCAGCTCATACTAGCTTGCAAACTCAAGGTGCTAAGATGCTTAAAACATCAAATACAAAATTTAAAGATGCTGAAGTGGGTGACAATGTACGCATCCGTGTTCCAGATGTTGACAGAGGTCGCGGTGATCCCGAAGCGTGATCAGTGTTTCTTCCAGAATTTATTCTCGGGGGGGGGGGGCACTTGAAATTTTCGGGGGGCATCCGTGTTCCAGATGTTGACAGAGGTCGCGGTGATCCCGAAGCGTGATCAGTGTTTCTTCCAGACTTTATTCTCCGGGGGGGGGGCACTTGAAATTTTCGGGAGGGGGGCGGTAGACTTTCTTCGGGGGGGGGGGGGGGGCGGACACTGTTAAAAGTATATATTTTATATATAAATTATATAAATTCCATTTCGTTCGGGGGTGCGGTAAAAAAATTTTGGAGGGGGGGGGGGGGGGGGCTTTGCCACCCCCCCCCCCCCCCGAAGAGATGCCTGGAAAAACTCTGAGCGTGATTGCAGTTGTCATGAGCGGCGAGAGCGGTTTTTACAAATTAGGAACGGAACATGGTGTTCTAAAACAACTGTGTGTTAGATGTGAGTTTTCAATTCTTCACGAAAAACTGCTCTTATTGCCGTTAGTTGGCACTGAGGAAAAATCACTACGAACCATCGCATCTTCACAATCATTGACTGGTTGCAATTGCACAACGTTGTTAAGCTCAGCTTTCCATTTCATTTAGGAACCAGGTATAACACATTTGAAAACACAGTTCAAATGTAATAGTCAAATATAATTTCTAACTTCTACAGGAAAACACAGGTAACATTCAAACCAAAAACACTCCTACGCTCAGGTTTTCTATTCAACGCTCTTAAGTTCCGGTTACGCTCAACACACACCGCTTACACACTACAGTTGACACACTTTTTCTCCGCTTGCACACCAATTACAACGGGAGGCCACTCTCACACACACTTTATATAAACTTCTACACCACACACGTGTTCTTCTTAACCAATTACTGTATCACCGAAATGAGTAAGATAATCTTCAAACTCTGTTTTATTCTTTTATCTTTATTTTCTATTCAACAGTTTTTGTCACAAACTTTACCAACAGCTCACATGATTTAATAAAGCGGGTATCATGGTAACCAATAAAAAGAAAAGTACCACCAAATCTGCAATGAAACAAATCCACAACCTACCTGAAAAATTGCTTGTACACGAATACACTGTCACGGTGTATCTTGGGGTAGGACTTGACTGCGCATGTCACCAAACTGATTCGTGTGTAAATCGTCTTAGAAGCTAATCGACTTAACGCAATATTTATAACGAGCCGACCCGCAGCGTATCATACGCCGCTATTTAGTTGTTTTATTTTCTACTTTTCAGTACTTCATAATGTGTGAATTCGACAGTACCAATGCTGCCATTGAAAATATTTGCTTTAAAACACTACCCCCCCTTTCCCCTTTCCCCTAACCCCGACCCTACACCCCCCCCCCCCCCCGTGAAAGCAGCCTCCTCTTAGTTATTTCTTAGTTACCTCCTGTAAGTTTAAAATCGAACTAAATTATCTGCCCCTAATAGAAACCCGGCTCTACGGCTCTACGATTTGTAAACATTTAGCTTTGTAAACATTTAGCGTGACCACAGCTCACCAGACAATGTGGGGGTGGGGTGGGGGTGGTAGTGATAGTGATAGAGAGAAAGAGAGTGGACTGCAAGGAGGCGCTTGCAGCTTGTTTTCTAACGGCTCCCAGAAGAGAATTATATATATACGAGCCGGCCCGCGGCATAACATACGCCGCTATTTAGTTGTTTCTAATTTTCAATAATTCATAATTTGTGAATTCGACAGTACCAACGCTGACACTGAAAATATTTCTTTAAAACACTATAAGTAGCTCGTTAAGGACCATAACCCCCCCCCCCCCCCTTCCTTCCCTCCCCCCCTCCTCCCCCCCCCCCCCCCCTACGTTTAAAATCGTTGGCTCTGCTTGTAAACATTTAGAGTGAACACAGCTCACTAAAACCATGTAGGGGTGGGGAGGTAGGGAGAGCGTTTGCAGCTTGTTTTCTAACAGCTCGAAGAAGAGAATTATATATATAGATTGTATTTGCAAAACTTAAACAATGAAGAGAGCAACATGTGTAGCGTAATCAGAATGAACAAAATTGTAAACGGCTATGGTTGCTGAGTAATTGTAAAATATAATTAATGTGTACTTGTAAAATATTTGTGATGTGTACATTTAAAATTTGGTTGATTTGTACACGTAAAGTATAGTTGATTTGCAGAAGTAGATTGCGGTTGGTTTTACACATGTAAAATATGGTTGATTTGCAGAAGTACACTGGTTGTTGCTGCGAGATTTATGTGATTGATGAACACAGGAAAATTTGGATCTTTTACACAGGTAAAATGTAGTTATTTACATGTGAATTGTAATTGATATGAAGGTAAAGGTAAACTGTGGTTTAATTTATTAGGTAAATTTGGATTGATGTGAACAGGTACATTTGCAGTGAAAAAATGTTTTTATTTTTTGCAAGTTTTCAAACAGGGTGAATTGTTTACTTAAATTGTGGTTGTAGTGTAAAACGTTTTTGATGTGTACAGGCACTTTATGGGCAACGTTTACTCTTTTTCTTTGTCGGACTTGAGTTTGCAGAGAAGCTGATACATCTTGCTATTTCTTTTAAATTTCTCCTTTGCAGATTCGTCATAATTTTTCCTTTGTGGCCCTAGGGGAGCAAAGGGCTTCAGTTACACTTCTCCACCGAACTAGGTTGTGGGCAGCTCCCTTTATCTGTGCCCACGTGAGCCCAGCGGTCTTTGTCTCTACTTCTACCGTTCTTCTCCATGATCTCTTAGGCCGACCCAATTTCCTTTTTTTTCCTGGGGATTACCAAGCTGAAAATTCAAATTTTACCAATCCTGTTGACAGATCCGGCGTTAGGAATACGCGGGGCCTAGCCCCTTAACGCCGACAGTCGCGTTTTCGCAACATACCGATTTAGCGCATAGCATTTGCGCATAGGTACATTTATCCTACTGCTGCCGGTCGTTGTGTATTGGGTACATCCAGCCGGTTGTCATGCGTTTTAGGTGTATCTAAAAAAAAAGAGTGTTAGTAAGCACAGAATTTTAGACAAATTACAAAATTAACAAAACTAAAGTAATTAAATTTGAAAAGAAATAGAATAACACTGATAGCTTTGGGACTTAGCTCGAATCGTGATTAAACACTGGTTACAAATCGTGAAAATAAACTCTAGGTTTATGGATATCCAAAAGAAATAATTCTCAAATTTAATCACGGACGCTCAGTGAGATAGAGCTTTGGTGTGGGTGGCAGTTGGTGGGGGGGGAGGAGGTAAAGGATAACTGTGCATTTACATCTATGGCTATGGGATGCCATACCCTAAAAAAAGGGTCGCGATCTCACAAGAGAAGGTTCGTGTCTATAATTAGAAAGTGACAGCCAGCTACACCTTATGTATTAGTTTCGCGACAATATGCTAGGGTTGCCGTGAAAGGTGTGTGAGAAATCAGGACAAGTTTACAATACAGCGAACTCGGCCTCATGTATCAAAACAGTATAGACTTCAAAATTTGCTTAGAATCCATACAATATTTTAAATCCAAAATCATTATTGTCTTAATTCCTAGGCACTGAAGGGGCATCTTTTTAAAGTATTTAAAGTAATTATGTCCACATTTTTTAAATATACATTGTAGTGATATCATTTCAAACCAATGTGCCCATATTATTTTTTATGAATTGTAGGGCAAGCTAAAAGTTGTGTAAAAGTTTTTTAAAGCAAGGTAGAGCTATCTGTAAAGTAAATGGGCTCTTAAATAGAACTGATGTTATAAATAGTAGAGCCATCTGTAAAGTAAGTGAGTCCACGTTGATTTAATGAATTGTGGGAGTTATAACGGCCCTGGTAGCCGTTACTGGATTAATTCCCACACAGGGCTGGCATAGGAATACTCGGGGCCTAGAGCCGACCATAGCGCGGGGCCCAAGTTTACCATCGTTGTCGTAAACATGTACAACGATGCTGTATCAAACCAGGGAAATAGTGTACGAATTTAGGGACTAATTGGTCGTAACCTTTTCTTCCAATTTGGAAAAGTAGCATTTTTTTTCTTCTGCTCAAAGCGAATTAATATAATGACGACGATATAATTATAATATTGTTTTACTTTCATATTAGCTCCACTATTACATCTCTGGCCTCGACATTCACCAATCTCTGTGCCATATTTCTCGAGTACTGCAGGCAGTCAAGCTAAATCTCTTTGTCTGTTGTGTCTTTAGCGATACAAAAATTCTATTAAACATCGACAAAGCGCACAAGCAGAAATCGCTGTTCTCTATGACTAGTATCGATATTTTCTCAATGTATCGAGTTAAGACGAGACGCTTTATTCCTACGTATCCGACTACTTCGACGTACGAGACAAGACTAGCATTTCTAAGGTCCGTAACTAGTACAGGCATAAAAAAAAAAAACTATTTTGGTCAGAATACAATAGGGTTTCAAATTACATGTTTTTCCAAATTTATATACCAGGTACACGGGGGTGCAGGCGGAGGGGGGAGGGCTCACTCAATGGACCCATCGCCAGCCACCTCAGGTAAAACAATCACCAGGCGACCGTACCGCTCTTCCCTGCACATAAGGTGTGACACTAATGTCTTCCTATAAAATACAGCATTGTTCAAGTTCAGATTGGGGGGGGGGGGGGGGGGGAGGGGAAGAGAGAGAAAGAAAATTCACTAGGCCTAACATCAACCGTGGCCTCAGTTGTAGCAATAAACTAAGGCGACCTTTGTCCTTTTAGTTTTTTTTCTCAATTTAATTCAACTGTGACCGCAGCCCGACCCGGTAGGGTAATGGAAACTAGAAACTCTTTTGCCTCTCCCCCCCCACCCCAACATCCGGCATGTCCCCAAACTGTTTTCCGCTCCCCGAAATTCCATCCAGTATAACATTTGTTGAGTCAGCCATTTCTTTGGATATATTCGCATGGAGTCTTCTCAAGAGTTTAGCTAAGTCATTTTTTTAAAGTGCTTTTCTATTTGTATTCTGTTTAATAACATAATGTGTGTTATAATTTATCGTCAATTGTGGGCTACTAACACTTTTAACACCGTATGATAATATATATATATATATATATATATATATATATATATATATATATATATATATATATATGCCCCGGGCATCTACATAGCTCTGCAAGCCACTGACCATGTGATGATGCATAAAATAAAAAAAAAAAGATGCTTTGATAAAAAAATGTAATAACGCACATTAAGTATATAGGCACACACACATATATATATATATACATATATATATATATATATATATATATATATATATATATATATATATATATATATATATATATATATATATACATATATTCAGGGGGGGGAATCACGAAATAGCAATCTAATGCTTAATCTCAGATCAGCTCGTAAATTTTCTATTGCGTTTAAAACCATAAACATTACTATTAAAAAAATATCAGTTATATAATCTTCATTATCATGTGCTAGTTTCGTCACTCAAAGTCAAAGAGCAAAAAGTCAGACCCACCCCTCCCCACACCTCATATTAATCTTTTTTTTTCAAAAATAATGTTGGCGTCTATAAAGGCTGGCTTTGTGTGTGCTATCAGGATCTGTAAACCGTGTATGGACAGGAAATTCTATACCGTGTTTCTAATTTTCAATTTTTTTAAAAATTTCAGTTCAGACGAATTCATTCTGCAGATGGGTCATGTTTTTTTTCTACTGCAGGTGTGAAACTAATGTTTCTGGTGCCGTACCTTTTCCATACGGTTAATAAAGTTGCTTGTATATGTAGTGTAATTTTGGGATATAGTTTTGGGATATAGATTTGTGATGTAATTTGTGATGTAATTTTGTGATGTAATTTTGGATGTAGTTTTGGAATGTAATTTTGGAATGTAATTTTGGGATGTAGTTTTGGATACAGATTTGGAATGTAATTTTGGGATAAAGATTTAAAATGTAATTTTGGGATGCAGGTTTTGGTATAAAGATTTGGGGTGTAATTTTGGGATGTAGTTTTGGGATTCAGTTTTGGAAACGACTTGGCTTAGGATAATATTAGGAAATGTGTTTGTGTTATCTGCATGATTGGTACTACTTTTTAGTTAGTCCTAAACTTGCCAAGTTAATAAAAGTGATTAGTGCTAGAGATTAATTAGAGAATAGCACTAGAGAGGTTGGGTTTGAGTTTATCGTCGATTTCCCCACTTAACAACATGGTCTGAGAGACACCAATAAACGAGATAAGAAACATGTTAAAAATATCTAGAAATCTTGTCTAAACATAAACTAGCGATTTTCAGAGTCTCATAAAAAGCGAAAAACACAATATTACAAGAAAACATGTAAAGTGCTCTTCTCAACTTAGGGCCCAGGCTGTGTGCTTGGATTTTGCAATGCGCAATTATCCCATGGTCTAATTAGACTATTTAGCCATTCGCAACAGCCCAGATACTTTTTTACTTTCTCGTATATACGAAGTATAGAGAAAGTATTGTAATCGTGCAAAAAAAAATCGAGATTTTTACAAATCTCGACGTTTTACATCTCACTGATACGGAAAAACATAATTTTGCAATCTTGTCCGTATGTCTGTGTGTCTGTCTGTGTGTCTGTCTGTCTGTCTGTCCGTGTGTAAACACGATAACTTGAGTACCGTTACAGCTAGGTTGATGAAATTTCATATATAAGTATTTTATCAAAATCGTAGATCCGTATCAACTTTTGAGCGATTTCTGATAACCGGAAGTGGTACTTTTCCTACTTTGAAATTTTCAAAAGCCTATAACTTGACTACTATTTCAGATAGATAAACAAAATTTCACATGTAAGTAAAAGATCTAATTCTCTACCTTCTGTTAAATTTTGAGTCATTTCCGTTGAACGGAAGTAGTAATTTACGCTACTTCCGATTTCTCAAAAAACTAATGTAAATTTTTAAAGTACTAATAATATTGCACACTATTATGCACTTTTTTATTTAGCGTTCACTTGGAGTGCAATTCTTTTGTCTACGAGATTTTATTCTATTTTTTAAAACTTTAAGTATTTAAAATGGATTAAAAATCTTGTCTATAGCCCGAGTTCCCATCCCCTGTTATTTTATATAAAAATATTCGAGAAAGTTTAGGGGAGATCACTCCCGGTTTATTTAAAATGCGTTATTTGTATAGATATTATATATTTCAAGAGCCGCCGTGGGTAGCCCTCGCCCCCCCCCCCCCCATGCGTAAAAGAAACCCGGTTTGGGCATATAGTCTTACTGTAAATTTAAGAGACTAATACGAAAAAAATATACAATATGTGATATTTATTTACAATCTCTTAAACATGATTTATTTTGAATTTCAGTCGTATAAATGAATTTTACTTTGAACAGGGGGCTAACATCATTAGACAGACTAGGTTTGATTTCTCTAGTAAGTGAAACCCTCCTGTAAAGTACTCAACAGAATTTAAAGTAGGTAAGTCTGAACCATTAGACCCCTATTGAAACTCTCCTGTAAAGTACTTAACAGAATTTTAAGTTATTAAGTCTAAACCATTAAACCTCAAATTAAACCTTCCTGTAAAGTACTTAACATAATTTTAAGTAGGGAAGTCTGAACTATTAAACCCCTATTGAAACTCTCCTGTAAACACTCCGACAGTTTTCCATTTACCTAAAAGTATGCAAAACAGCCAGATATACAGAGTTTAAGTACCCTAAAATCCGCGTTGAAATGACCCTCTGTTTTTCCCAAACAATACGAAGATTATATAGGGAAATACAACTGGTCAGTTTTGACCCCTTTTCGAAGTTTTCCCAGATATGCCGAGTTTTTTATGACACCCCAAGGCGTTCTCCTACCACCTCACAAAATTTCAAGGGGGGGGGGTCGTCGTCGGAATTTTTTTTTCTTAATATAGCTCATATAAAGAGAATTTCACTCGCGGTCACTTTTTAGCCCTCGTCGAGGGCTTTGAGTCAAACCGACAGTTTTTCCTAAAGGTCAAGCCATTTACCTAAGAGTATGCAAAAAATTAGCCAGATATACTGAGTTTAAGTACCCTAAAATCCGCGTTGAAATGACCCTCTGTTTTTCCCATAAAATACAAAGATTATATAGGGAAATACAACTGGTCAGTTTTGACCCCTTTTCGAAGTTTTCCCAGATATGCCGAGTTTTATGTGACACACTAAGGCGTTCTCCTACCACCTCACAAAATTTCAAGGGGGGTCGTCGGAGGAAATTGTTTTTCGTAATAGAGCTCATATAACGAGAATTTCCACTCGCGGTCACTTTTTAGCCCTCGTCGAGGGCTTTGAGTCAAACCGTCAGTTTTCCCTAAAGGTCAAGCCATTTACCAAACAGTATGCAAAAAAATTAGCCAGATATACTGAGTTTAAGTACCCTAAAATCCGCGTTGAAATGACCCTCTGTTTTTCCCATAAAATACAAAGATTATATTGGGAAATACAACTGGTCAGTTTGACCCCTTTACGAAGTTTTCCCAGATATGCCGAGTTTTTTTGACACCCCAAGGCGTTCTCCTACCACCTCACAAAATTTCAAGGGAGGTCGGAGGAGGATTTTTTTTCGTAGTATAGCCCATATAAGGCGCCGTTCAGTCGATGTCAGTTTTGACGCCCTTTCCGTGGACTTTTTGGCCAACCGTCACCGGCCCTCGTGTTCTATTGACACAAGGCACCATCGTGCCAAATTTGACGCGCCTGCGCCGCCGGGAAGTGCCATATGGGGCACCGGACCACTTTGCTTTATATATGTATATATTTCAGGGCAAGTGTGTGTGTGGGAGGGAGGAGGAGGGGGGCGGGCATTAAAAAAAATTATTTACATTTTTTATTTCTTTTTAAAGTTCCGTATTTTTAAATTTCAGTGCAAGTGTGTTAGAGGGGAGAATTTATAGGAAACGAAAATGTCAAATCGAGTTATCTTAATTAGATTAATTCTATGTTTATCGTATTTCAGTTTTTTTAAAAACTTAGAGCCGATTCCTTTCCACAAAGTCGAGGGTGCGGAAGTGACATCTATGTAAATAACAAATCCAAGAGTTCATTGATGGTTGTATTTTTTATAAACTAGCGTTAAAAACCGACAAAACGTCAGAGGTGTCTTATGCTTTTAGACAAAGTGATCATGTTGTAGAGCGTGCTACCAAGCAGTATAGAGCTGTGGGCATCGTTTTGATTCGTGAAAAGTTGCGGAAAACATTCCTTGGAAGTAATAGACTGCAAATATCGCAAATGTTCGCAGAGTATTAATAGTTAAATAAAGCACACTTTCAAACTTGACAGTCGCTTGGGAACAGTTGAAGTAGAGTGCGCCTGTTTCAGGGACCTCGTCATATGAAGGGATAGTGTGTTCAGCACTATGCCCAGGCGCTTACACTTAATAAACAATGTTACCTTCCCTTGTTTACAAATCGTTTAAATATTAAATTATCTGCCCCGAATAGCCGTCACCAAACCCGGGTCTACGATTGTAAACATTTGGCGTGAACCACAGCTCACCAGACCATGTGGGGGTGGGGGTGGCAGGGATATGCTTAGAGAGGAAGAGAGGGGCTGCTAGACGCGCTTACAGCTTGGTGTTTTCTAGGGTTCAAAGAAGAGAATTATATATATATAGAAGATAGATAGATTATAGTCAAAGCTTTTCTTTAACCATTTTCAGTTTTAGCTGAGTATAAAAATCCAATACAAAACATGGATCGAAGTACAAGCGAAGACAACTTTGAATCTAAAAACTTAGACATAGCCCAAAAGGTGAGTACATTTCGAACAATGTATTTAAATGTGGCAGGTGAAATAAAGTTCACTTGTTGTATTCTTCTTCTTTGTTCTTAATTTTTAGTGTCGTGTCAGAAGAGATTCCCTCCAACACTATTAAGTATACGTTTCAAATAGTTATGCGCCATTGAGGCCATTGACTCCGATTTCAGCCTGCTTTTCTTTTTGGATTTGCGTCCATAGCATTTGTCCAACCAAGAACTAACTACAAGGCAGCAGTTGTTTGATTTTGGAGTTCTCTCTCCTAGAAGAGTGGTTGTCCCCATCTGCCCGAGGGTTCGAACTCGAAACGTTTCGGTTTAGCAACCACGAGCTTTACCGATTCGACCAAGCCGACCCCTAACTGTTGTATTGACCTCGCCATATTATGAAGGGGGTAGTGTAGTTAGCACAATGCCAAGCCGTCTTTACTTTCCCTAACCTGAGTCAGGTACCAAACAAGGCTACTTTGACTCAGGGGTGTCGAAAGACTTTGAGCCCGTGATCCGAACTCGAGATTTATATTTATGTAAAGTTATCGGAGGTTTGAACGTGGTACTTTTCGTTTTAGCAGCAATAAGCTTTACCGACCCGACCGTGCTGACCCCTCGTTTTGTATTGAAGCATTATTTTACCCAAAAAAAAATAATAATTAATCAAAAGTTATTTGATGTATTTATTTTTAAAAAATATGAATGATCAACAGTTTATTTTGTTTCACATCAACTCGAACTAACTCGAAGTTGTGTATTGTATTGTTTAGTTTGCACCTAAGGGTCTAGATGATAGCGAGTCTGAACCCACAAACCAAACAGCTCAGGTTGAATCTGCTGAAGGGGATGACAATTATCAAGAAAGCCATCTATCTAACACAAGGCAAAATTACGTCAATGAACAGAGAGATTACGATCAATACAGCGAATATGGTGAAGAAGATACTAACGGATATGACGTAGACAGCCCACCACCTTATTCAGACGATTTTCGTCATAAGACAGAAGTGTCTTACTTACAGAATGCTTCAACAGCTTATCACAAAAATGCTTCGACAGCTTATCACAAGGTCGCTTTAACCAATGACTACAAGAATGCTTCAGCAGCTTACGACAACAGTGCTTCTGCAGCTTACCCCAAGAATGCTTCAACAGCTTACCCCAAGAATGCTTCAACAGGTTACCCCAAGAATGCTTCAACAGCTTACCCCAAGAATGCTTCAACAGCTTACCCCAAGAATGCTTCAACAGCTTACCCCAAGAATGCTTCAGCAGCTTACCACAAGAGAACCAAACATACTCAATCACGCACATCGCAAAATTATCCCAGAAACGACAACTCGGGAAGACAACTCCTCCAGCCCACAGCCCACTTGCCCGTCCATGGTAACATTACCTCCCGTGCTAACGTACAGTCTGTCAGAGATGAGCCCGAGTCACAGGTAAGTTTTCTCTCAGTAAGTCCGCCATTACGACGACAGACAAACATAAGTGCAACATATTTTACTTTATACATACATGGTTGCCGAAAGTCACAGTAACAATTTTCCTGTTTTTGTGAGGCAATCAATTTTAAATTTCATTTTTCTTAGAATTCTAAGCTAACAATGTCTTTAAACATTGCTTTAAACAACACCAAAAATAAAAATATTTTAAAAAAATATTCAAATTCACAAACTAAAATTAAGTTTTGAGTTTAAAAGTAATTGGTGTGTTATAATGAAAACGTGTTTACTCCTTTACTCGTGGATAAGCCAAGAATATTTTTATTATACTTTTTAATTAAGGTAGTTTATAGTAGAAATAACGTATATATATATATATATATATATATATATATATATATATATATATATATATATATATATATATATATATATATATATAACTTATTTCTATTATAAATACTACTGACTAGAGACCCTAACTACAAGAAAAGAATTGTATTACAGTTGATTGGTTAATAACTACTTGCTGATTTTTTTAGCAAAAAAAATATTTTTAAAAATAATTCATAAATAATCGTTTCTTTAACAATGTCGTAAATAATAGAAATATATATATATATATATATATATATATACATATATATATATATATATATATATATATATATATATATATATATATATATACTACCATAAAGCATGTAGATTTAATATCTCTATATTATTTTTATATTAAGGTAGGGTGTATTCCCAGTTATGCAGGGCTAAGCCTGTGTGTTATGTGTTTTTGCTGTCTCCCACTAGGGGTAGGAGGACTCGTCTATTCCCTACAGGTAAGTCTATGACGCTATAGAGACTGGAAATAAAAGTAAGAGATGTAGGCCTACTTTGCAAAGAATCATTTAGTTTCATCCCCTCCCCCCCCCCCTTTTCAGAACCCATGATGTAGTGTGATTTCTAGACTGACAATATTAAAACCCTACGTCTATTATTTCTATTTTTTTAAAGTTTTTTTTTTACCCTGCTAATTATTTAATTTTAGACTTTAATTAATTATCGGAGCAGCTTAGCAGTAATGAGCTAGACTGCTTACTCGAAAGACCCGATTTTTATCAGGTTCAAATCAGTAGAACATCATTGTAGCTGTTATGGGTACAAAGCTCATGTGAGGGAAACAAAGACGCCTAGGCATAGTGCTGACCACATTATCACCTTGTATGCAGAGGTCATTGAAACATGAAGTAGACTTCTTCTGTTTTAATGACCTCGGAATCAAACTTTATCTGTCCCAATGTCTTAGGCACAAACAGGAAAAGATGATGAACCTTATAAACATATTACAAACAAAGATTTGTTGTTAATTATTTCGTTATAGGTTGGGTGGGGATAAATTAGATACATTTTAATAAAACCTATTAAGAAAAATGACCCTTTCGAACATGGCGGTCCACGGGGTAAATAGACTTCATCAGTTTCTGTTATCTAGGCATAGGTAGGGTAATTGTGGTCATCATTATGCCCAGCCGCTTTTACTTTTTCCCAACGGAAGTCGGGTACTTGTCAGAGCTGAGTAAACTCAGTGACATCCTTTGAACTTGAGCTCGGGATTCGAACTGAAGACTTTCGGACTCTACCATCCAACCACGCCAGCTTCTTATAGTTCTTCATAACATTTGTAATATGAGGACAATGATAATTCCAAGTAGTTTAATTTGTTTTCGAATATCAAAGAATTCGCAATTATTAAGCGCAAAAGTGCGCTGAAAAATTTAAACTAAGCTTATATAGACCGGGAATGATATCCCCTAAACATTCTGGAATATTCTTATATAAAACAACAGGGGATGGAAACTCGGGATATAGTTATGATTTTTAATCTATTTTAAATACTTAAACTTTTAAAACAAGAATAGAATCTAATAGAAAAAAGAATTGCGCACCAAGCACCAAGATGTGTATAATAGTGCGGAATATTATTAGTACTTTATAAATTCATATGTGTTTTTTGAGAAATCGGAAAGAGTGAAAATTACTATATCCAGTCAACGGAAATTACTCAAAATTTGATAGAAGGTAGAAAATTAGATCTTTCACTTCCATGTGAAATGTCATTTATCTATCTGAAATAGTACTCAAGTTATAGGCTTTTAAAAAATTCAAAGTAGAAAAAGTACCACTTCCGTTTATCGGTAATCGGTCGAAAGTTGATACGGATCTACGATTTTGATAAAATACTAATGTATGAAATTTCATTAACCTAGCTGTAACGGTACTCAAGTTATCGTGTTTACACACACACAGACACACAGACACACACACAGACATAAGGGCAAGATCGCAAAATTATGTTTTTCGGTATCAGCAGGGTGTAAAACGTCGAGATTTGTAAAAATCTCGATTTTTTTTGTACGATTACAAGACTTTCTCTATACTTCGTGTATACGAGAAAGTAAAAAAGCAAGGCAAAGTTGATCCAAACACCGGAATAAAAAGTTCATATTTAGAGGACCAATCGCCGTCATGCACATACAGAATCGAACGCGAATGTAACGATATTGTCTTCTTGTTTGTTTACTGATTTAGTTACCATTTGTTTTTGTTTCTTTTTGCATTTCCTACCCACAGGCCAACACGTTAAAGAAAGTACACAAATATGCGAAAGCCAGAGCAGCTGCCAGAAAAGCATTGGGTCTAAATATAGCTGGCATTGTACTCGGCATAACACTTGACGTGGTGATTGTTTATTTATTTTATACATATGTAATGCGGAGGGATCCAGGTCTTTAGGGTCCCACAGTCGACCATAATTAATTATTTTAAAAAAATTATTAAGGTAATTTTCGTGCATTTTTTTTTATATTTGGTTTGTAAACAAAAATACTGTAGCTGCTGTACCATTATCTTTATTTTACAGTCACTCTTCTGCAAACATTAAAATGCGTTACACCCATTGTATTGTAAAACATACGCGAAACTTCAAATTTAAATGACTTCTGTGACTCGTTGCTCCCTTTGACAGCCAAATAGGGGACACGAAACTGTTTGACCGATCTTCCAAAGTGTACTGTGGCGGAAGAGGCAGGGGGTGGGGGGGGGGTGAGAACCAAATAGGGGGTGGGCTCGAAAATTGAAGTAAAATGTATTTATATTTTTAAAAAGTTACTTGTAATTGTATTTTTTTAAACTTCTTCAAGGCCAAGTTCTATTTCCCCTACAATCAAACACACACTGTCGCCGCTAGATATTTAATGGGCTTCTATAATGTGCTGTACTTCTTTGCGGCATTGGTTAGGCGTCCGAAATCTATTGCACATTTTTCAGAGTCAATATGTATTAGTTATATTGGTAGAATTTCTATCCTGTTCTATCTTGTATCCTAAAAATAATCAAAAATAAAATAACACTTTAAACTTCGGTTTTATATACGTTAACTTGTTTTTGCTTTTACAAGAAATGCCAAAGTAAACATATACTTTAAATTCTCTCCCCCGAGTAAGTTTTATAATGGGTGATGCTGAAGTGCATAGGGCTTTCTTGTCTCTTTCAAGTTTTTTTTCTCCGAGTCGACCCCCATCCCACCCCTCTTTCTTAGCCTCGCAAGTATCGAATAGATAAATGTATCGTTTATGAACTCCTTCCTTACTGTACATTCACTACTTCATCACATTTTGTCAGACACTAGATAGCACTAGTCAGCAGATATGAATTTACTTGCATAGTATTAGGTGCATCTAATTCACAAAACAGGGAAGGTAAGATTATTTGTATATAATTATTTAGAAATTAATTAGAACGTTTAAAATTTATTGAACATAATAAATAGTTAATTACTATTCATAAATGACGTCAAGTGGGAAGGTGTGAGGGTCTGGCTTTTTGTAAGTCGTTAAAAAACGTGACGTCATTTGTGGATGCCCCCCCCCCCCCCCCACCATCTTCTTCTTTTTTTTTCTTCTTCTTCGTTCTTAATTATTAGTGTTGAAGGGGATCGAGATTTATCTGCCAGTGGGTTTGAACTCGAGACTTTTGTTCGAATTTATCAACCATGAGCTTTGCAGACTCGACCACGCTTCCATCACAATTAAGGATACGTGTCAACTGGTTATGCGCCATTGAGGCCATTGAATCCGATTTCAGCCTGCTTTTCTTTTTGGATTTGCTTCCATAGCCTCTGTCCAACCAAGAACAAACTACAAGGCAGCAGTTGTTTGATTTTGGAGTTGTCTCTACTAGTAGAGTGGCTGTCCCCAGCTAACAAGCCTCATTCGCCCGAGGGTTCGAACTCGAGACTTTTTCGGTTTAGCAACCTTGAGCTTTACAAACTTGACCACGCCACCCCTACCCGTGCAGTAATGTAACCTGTAGCTCCCTAGAGCCACGTGACTCTCACGACACATGGGCTATTGCCGAGGGACTTAAAGGATGCATCGGTGTGTCGGTTGGTAGTGTGGACAAACCCGAGCCCCAACCACTAAGATCCAAGAAATGAACTGCCGACATTGTGCACATTTGATTAAACTTCTGGTAAACAGGGCACTCGTCTAAAAAACACGATTGGTAACGTTTTGATGAAAACCTCATAAAAATTGGCGTCAACTTGGTGTGTTGGACAATATTTATCGAGTCCGTGCTTCTCACTTGGAAAACTGAATGGGGTCAGCTAGCGTGTTGGAAAACCTATGATTTAATCGTGTACCAGATGGATAAAAAACATATGTCCATAAGAACTAAAGTAAATAAAAAAAAAATAGAGCGACCCTTGCTTTCCATATATATATATATATATATATATATATATATATATATATATATATATATATATATATATATATATATATATATATATATATATATACAGAGACAGACACAGAGAGACAGAGAGACAGACAGACAGACAGACAGACACACACTCACTCATTTACAGACACCCACGAACAGAATTGCAATGCCTAGTTTTTTTTCGACACAATGACGCGTAAAACATCGATATTCTGATAAATCCGGATTACAAATTTCTGTCCGATTCAAATATGTCCCTATAATGAATTTGTTGAAGTACTGAGGTGTAAAACGGTGAATTATGTCAACATTTTATGTGATTTTTGTGCCCAATTACAATACTTCTTCGACGCTTCGCATACGAGAAAATGTGTATGAATGTATCAGGAAGTCGGAGTGATCTGGTCGGTTAAGCTCATGGTTGCTGAACAAATAAGTCCCTGGGGAAAGTAACTCTTCTAGGAGAGACAACTCTAAAAACAAAAAACTGCTTCCTTGTAGTTTGTTCTTGGCTGACATTGGAGTGAACGGCCTAAATGGCGCACAACCAGTTGACACGTATACTCTTATTGTGTAGGAGAGAATCACTTTCAACATTAAACGAAGAAGAATTAAGCATTGACCTGACCTAAGTAGACCTCTTGTGAATACTTACATTTACTGACATATTTTAATATATATTCCTCTTGATTTTTTTTTGCATATATACCAATAATCACCAATGTATGATTTGTTAATGTTATCGTACAATAAAACTACGCAGTGTGTTTCTTATTTACATCATGTAGGCCTACTTTGCTCTTTACGATGCTTGCAAATAAAAATATTCAATTATTTGGTTTAGTTGATTTGGTATAATGACAGTCTGTGCGCGCGTGTGCGTGTAGGCTAAATGTGTGTTTGTGTTCTTGCGTGTGCCTGTATTTGTGAGTGTTTGTGTAAGTTAGTTTGCGTGTTTGAGTGTGCATTTATGCATTCTTGTGTACATATGCTTATGTGTGTAGGCCTGTGTGTGTCTGCGTGCGTATTTTCTACAACATTCTACGCTACTTGTGTGTAGACTGAATGTAAAAAAAATTAAAACAAAAGGATTGCAAAAAAAATATGAAATAATTTTTTTTGAGCTGGAAAACACACAATGCTGCCGAGGGCTACTATATATCTCTCAAAACAACGTCGATGTCTGAAGATGTTTGCTTGATACCCTATAGGTTTATTTGTTCAAAGAACTACGAGAATTAAAGCAAAAAACGATAATTATGTTAAGACATCTGGAAAAAACAATACATTAATTACCGTCTATACATACATTTGTTATTAACATTTTGGGAAAACAGAACACTTTTCTCAACATAAATACGTATTTTACATTTCTACACATACAGCAGATGCTCTAATCGAACGGATCAGACAAACCAAAACAAATATATCCAACCTTGTAAACAATTTGAATTTTAGTTGTGTATAGATCAAAGGGAATTAAACAGGCTAATAATAAATCGGACTTGCTTTACCAACAACATGATCAAGGTGTATTAATTGAAACACTGCCTCAGTACGGATGTGGTGTGATGTCACCCACTGAAGTGTAGAGTGTTTTTAAGGGCTGACCCTGACAGATAACACACAAACGAAATGAGGCTTTTGCTGATAGATCCTGGCTTTATTGTATATATGGCAAATCCGTTTACGACAAATCCATATACAGATATATCATTAACGTCAAATCCATGTACAGTAAATCAGTTCACGGTATGTAGTCCTTCATTAGTTCTACATAAACAAGTTAAGGAATGGACGGCCCTTGCCATCGGTAGCCCAAGGATTGAATGCCGCGGACACAGCTACAACTACACAGAGTCTCAAAGGTCACATGACATGGAACACGGGGACGAACAGAAGAGCAAAAAATAATTATCATTAAAAAAGTTTAAAAAAACCCACGTTTTCTGATTGAACTAAAAAGTAGAAAAAAATGCTATACATCACAATAATGCAAGCGATCACTCTACCTGTGTAAAAGATCCAAATTTTCCTGTGTTCATCAATCACATAAATCTTGCCGCAACAACCAGTGTACTTCTGCAAATCAACCATATTTTACATGTGTAAAACCAACCGCAATCTAATTCTGGAATACAACTATACTTTATGAGTACAAATCAACCATATTTTAAATGTACACATCACAAATATTTTACAAGTACACATTAATTATATTTTACAATTACTCAGCAACCACAGCCGTTTACAGTTTTGTTCCTGCTGATTACGCTACGCATGTTGCTCTCTTCATTGTTCAAGTTTTGCAAATACAATTATAAATAATGCGTCAAGTCGATAAGTTTCTAAGACGATTTACATACGAATCAGTTTGGTGACATGCGCAGTCAAGTCCTACCCGAAGCTTCACGGTGACAGTGTATTCGTGTACAAGCAATTTTTCATGTAGGTTATGGATTTGTTTCATTGCAGGTTTGGTGGTAATTTTTTTTTTATTGGATACCACGATACCCGCTTTATTTAATCATGTGACAAAAACTGTTGAATAGAAAATAAAGATAAAATAATAAAACAGAGATTGAAGATTATCTTACTCATTTCGGTGATACAGTAATTGGTTAAGAAGAACACGTGTGTGATGTAGAAGTTTATATAAAGTGTGTGTGAGAGTGGCCTCCCCTTGTAACTGGTGTGCAAGCGAAGAAAGAAGTGTGTGAACTGTATTGTGTAAGCGGTGTGTGTTGAGCGTAACCGGAACTTAGAAAATAAGAGTGTTTTTTGTTTGAATGTTACCTGCAGTGGCGTAGCCAGGATCGTCTCAAGAGGGGGGGTCCAATTTTTACCCGGGGACAAACTTTCGATTTGCACCCCCCCCTCAAACTTTCGATTTGCACCCCCCCCCCCTCAAACTTTCGATTTGCACCCCCCCCCCCTCAAACTTTCGATTTGCACCCCCCCCCTCAAACTTTCGATTTGCACCCCCCCCCCCTCATACTTTTTCTATATACCGAGGGGTCTATGGGGGGGTTATGACCCCCCCTAACCCCCCCCTAACCCCCCCCTGCCTACGCCACTGGTTACCTGTGTTCCCCTTTAGAAGTTAGAAATTATAATATTTGACTATTACATTTGAACTTTGTTTTCAATTGTGTTATACCTGGTTCCAAAATGAAATGGAAAGCCGAGCATAACAACGTGTATATGTATAGAATTACCGTTCATGATTTTAAGAATGTAATGTTTAAATACTTTCCTTTAAGGAAATTTCGGTGATATT